CAAGAGTGTGTAAGCTACAGGCGGAGGCTCTTTGCCATTTGCCAAATGCCAGGCACTTAAACTCAACCCATGAGCTCCCATCTCCCGCCCGCCACTCAGCATGTGCAGCTCTAAAGCTCAAACAAATCCAATCAATGTTACAGCCTCGGCACACATCGAATGTGTAGGTGTGTGTACGTGTGTGTGTGTGTGTGTGTGTGTGTGTGTGTATGTATCCATATGCAAATAAGCTCTGGCTGCCATATAAAATTTAATGTGTTGCCTGCCACAGACATTTCTCTCACTCTCTCTCGCGCTCTGTGTTTCTCTCTTTCTCATTCTCCATGGCGACTTTTGCATGTTGTTGCTGTTGCTGTCATTTAGGATTTAGAAGCAGCCATTGATGCGTGTGCAGCCCATCAATCGTTGGGAATTAAAATTTTATTATGCCATATGCCTGCATGCGCTGCGTATACGTAATAAGCATTACGTATATGTCATGTATGTCCGCTTGTGTTTTGGGTTACAAAGAGCATGTTTGCCATATTCGAGTCTCATTTTTGGCCCAATAAACATTTAAATGCAAATGTCCCCGCCTTAAATGTTGGCCATCAACATTGAAAACCCAAACGCTGCGTCCTGAATTCGAGTCGAGCAGTGCGGGCGGGGGGCAGTCATTAACCATTAAATGCCACTTCTACTACTAATACTGTTACTACTCCGCGAAGGCCAAAAGCAATGAAGCGCGAATGTGCACATTAACTGCAACACATGGAGCACTAACGGGCCCACCCACCATCTAACCCGATATCCATGCTTGTAAAGGTTGGCCTGGACAGCCCTTTGTTTGGTGCTCAGCGAAAGCAATATGATTGCTACGAGGGTTGCCCTTCACCTTCTGCGCCTTAACAGTGTGTTTTCAGTTACAATTTAAGATATGTAATGGATACAGTTCCGTTTTGTATACTTTAGAATTAAGTCAAGGCAAAGTGCCTGATTTTCTACGCATCTCTGTTGTCCATCTTCGCGGCTCATTTGGGGTTCGCACAACATTAAAAGTCACCCTTTTAAGTCGTTCTGCCAACAAACACACGCATACACACATGCACACAATTCCAATAGTGACAGCGTTTTTCATGCACTTTTGGCTGGCGTTCAAGGATAATGCAGCGCGGACTGTGCAAGTATTTTATCGTTTGCACCATGTATATAGCTTGCACACACACACGCATATTTTCAAGCGCTGTTTGTGCCACTTTGTGACCCCATCGTTCAATAACAACATTGTGCTTCAATAGCTCCGCCCCGCCCAGCCCCGCCACTCTCTCCCCTTTGCGACGCCCTCGCACTGCAGCGAGAGTTCAGGTAGTTGTTGGAGTTTATAAAGCGCCATACATTATGCAGGTTGTTTGTTATCGTTCGATAGAGTGTAAATTATGGCACAGTTGCCAGCGTGGTAGCAAGTGTGGCACAAGCAGAGCTAAAGGGTCACCCGTACGTGTATATGTGTGTATCTATGTGCCTGCTTGCATATATGGTGTGCTAAAACCCTAATTGAGCTAGCTAGTTGAACTCTAAATGGAATTTATGTGGGCATATTAATTCCAATTATGTGCTCTCACTCTGACTCCATTTCAGCTCTTTTCTGTAGCTGTCCTTTTCACACTCTCTCTGCCGGTGCGAATGCTTTGCTTTTAAAAGTTATTTTTTTAGGCAAAATCCTATTAAAGTTAAAGAGCTGAAAGCATAGTTAAATCCCTCTGTATATCTATACATATATCTAAATATATATATATATATAGTTGCTTTGCTTGCGCTGCTGTGCTTGTGCAATTGAAAGGAAACTTTTCTATGGCTTTTTCTCAGATCTCGCCTCACTCACTCAAGTGTAGTATGGTGTGTGTGTGTGTGTGCACCCCAACTGAAACCCGCTCATCTTTCACCTTCCCTCCTTGTATCAATGCAGCTTGAAGGGTTTTATGCAGATTTCCATTTGACTTTGTCTCAAATGTGCACACACAAAAGATAAAATTCAGCCCTTCCCCTCCTTGAAGCCCGCTCGATGCGTCGTTCATTTCACAGCCAATTTTGTGCTTCTTAGCCCCGGCTCCCGTCCAATTTAACAAGCCTGTCCAAGTTCTTATCCTTGTGCATGCTCCTGACCTCGTTGCGGTGTGTGTTCGTTGTTCTCCCCTTCTGCTGTTTTTTTCTTCTTCATCTTGTCATCGCGTCTTTGTTAAGCGCATAAAGTGTGAAAGTACATGGAAAAGGATTTCTTCTGCTCTCCCGGGAGACTTTTGTTTTTCAATTGCCATTTGCCATATTTGCCGCAATTGTTTCTCTCACTCCACGCGCTCCAATTGTTGCAGCTCTCGGTGGCAACACAAACCTACTCCAAATTTCCGGCTTTGCTTTGGCAAAACGACGGCAACAGACTTTGGGTAAAGCTGCAGTTATAACGCTGCTGGCTATCTTATCAGTCGGCATTTAAACCCTGTTGTCCAAGCGAAAACGGGGAGTTTCCATCGACGTTATGGCAGCTGGAGAACTTTTTTTTTGATCGACTCTATATACTTTGGGTATTATTTATCAGCTTAAGAGCTTGAGATCTTAAATTGTTGCTTGTACTTAAGCTTATTCATAGGCGTTGATTGAGTATGTTTAACCACGACTTAAATCAGTAAAACGAACAAACTGCCGTGTCTCCAATATGTTTTTATTTATAATATATTTAAACTTAATCAATATTGATATTTAACAGCCAATAAACTTAAGAAAAGAATTTGAAGACTATATTATTTCCGAACTCACGTAATTAACATCAATGTATTTTTAATTTTGGGCCCAGCGTATCGCGCAGTCAGTTAGTTTCCATTGCAATTTGCCCAACTGTGGCTTTTCGGGAATCAGGCGGAAACTGTCAGCTTGTTATGTGTGCAGTCGCTCGTTGCACATCGTTACTTTGCTACTGTTTTTGGATTTCCCCACTCGACTTGAATCATGCTTATCAAGTGTAGCTAACAATGTTCTCTCTCTGTATTTGTGTGTGTGTCTGTGTGTGATTGCCTACAGCTGTTTTTCCGGTAAGTCAGTTCTATTTTCAAGCTGTTGCAGTCATTTCTAGTACGATTTTTGCTTTCTGCTGCTATTTTCAGTTAGATGGCACTCGTTGCAGTCCTAATAAAAAATGTGAGTCGGTAGTCAAGTTAATTTACCTGCCCCTGGGGGCACCACGCTATAATTTTCATTATACGATGAATTCAAACTTAAAAAACAATACAATGCAATAAACGTCTAGAAAATGCCATCGCGTTTGGCACGAATTGCAAATCATTTTGGATATGGAATCTAGATCACGCATTGGCCCTTTGGTCATTAGGTAATTAGCCCACGACAACAAAGCATTGATATTTACATTAAACTTTATTTACATTATGAAAAATACGCGGGGAAAGTCATCGTTAGTTAATCTATTAGCCCTGTTTATGACGCACTTGCTGCTCGGATGTAAGCCCATAGGTCTTCACATAAAAATTGCCAAACATATACATCATGATCAGGGCCTGTACTATCTGTACCAATAGCAGGCTGCTGGGAAAGCCACAATTCTTGGCGAAGATCAACACGTAGGACGTGTAAAGAAATAGTGCAACAAACTGGATAAGTTGAGTTATTGTTATATACTTTTTCCACCAAATATTCGCCTTGACACCAGGATAATGCGCCGACAGAAAGTAGTAAAAATACATGACAGTATGCACCAAAGAGTTGATCATGCCCACAGCATTAAAGTGCCCACCAGTTCCATAGAAGCGCATCACCAAATAGCAACCGATAACCATCATCACATGATGATAGACATGCAGAAAGGAAATTTGTTTGTAGCTCTTGCGTAGCACAAAGAATATCGTGTCCAGCAGATCTAGGATCTTATTGATAAAGTATGCATAGTGTACATATCGTTCCAGATTCTTGTGCTCGTGCCCAAACGGAAAGGTTTCCATGCAGTTCAGATTGCAAATGCGCTGACAGATCAGATAATAGAATGTCTGCGAAAAAATAGAATATTAAATATGCTTAATCATGCGCCAGTTGAATGCAATTAAGCAAATTATTTACTGACAATGCCAAAGAAGATGCCATTGTATGCCACCTGGCCCAGATTGTAGATGCGCAATAACTTGGTCAAGTCGTACGGTTCTCGATGCTTCATAAAGATCTTACCAAATTTGAGTACAAATAGTAAATAGATTGTGAGTATTAAAATGAGCGGCCATGGTGAATTCGTTAAGGGCAGCTGGTTAGGATCTGTGTTAATAATATTACGGGTTAATCCAATTGATATTGTGATATAGAGTCATAAAGACGAGCTATATATCCTACCCGGTGGCGGTATATTGAAAATGCCAAACATCGCTTCAACTTTTCGTCCAGTATGGTCGGAATACGATTTGCGAATGAACGCGAATGTCAAACGGTTTCCATGTCTAATCAAATTTTTGTATGAATCAAATGAGTTATTTATTGAGTTTCTTCTGTAGTCTATTTCGAAAATGCGTTGACAGAAACGAATACAACACAAAAAGGGGGAGAGCGAAATCGGAGAATGGCATATAAAGATATTGAGTTGGAAATACCTCGAATATCTTTAAAGCTTTAAAAGCTGTTTGCAAATATATAACAAAAGCTTTTTTGGACTTTGGCTCATTAATATTGATAATGTATGTACCACAGTACCATAGTACATCAAAGATAATTGAATATTCACCAATACGAATGGGTTCTAAACATAAGCACGTGCAAGCCCAGCTTAATGTCGATGTTCGATCTATTTTAATATATATTCGATTGTGTTTTTGAAACCCAACTACGTGTATAACAAACCCAAGTTCTAGTTCGAAATACTAAACGTTTATTACATTTTTACATTTACATTTAAATACATTCAGCAAGTCATTTAGCTATAAAATACATTAGGTCGATGAAGACTGCGCACTTTTTAAAGAATTCGTACAGTTAAATACTTGTATCAAGACAATACGTTTTTATTTCAACTATAAATTCAGTTCGACTAACTGGCATTAAATTACGGATAACACAATTTGTTAATATAAATTATTTTATATGATTCTTCTGTTTTGGCTTGACATAAGACTGTATATAGAATCTAACAAACATAATAATCATAACAGTGGCCTGGAAGAGCTGTAGGTATTGCAAAATTATCGGAAATGTGCAGCTCGGATTGAATATTAGAACTGCCAGTGATTGGATTATCAATATCACGAACTGCAGTATCTGAATTTTGGTGATATATTTCTTCCACCAAAGGCTGCCCTTAAGCTCTGGATACATTGCGGAAATAAAGTAATAAAAATACATCACGGTATGCACAAAAGTGTTCAGAGTTCCCATCACAGTAAATTGGCCAGCACATCCATAGAAGTGTATCACCCAATAAGAGCTATAAGCCATCATGACATGATGATAAACGTGCAGGAAAGTGATCTGTTTATAGCTCTTGCGCAGCACAAAGAAAATTGTATCCAGCAGATCAAGAGACTTGTTCAAAAAGTAGATGTATGCCACCATACGCTCAGTTCCCTTCATTGGATGATCGTCTCGAAGAATTACAATGCAGCGTATATCGTACACCGGTTTGAGGATTATAAGATAAATACCCTGTAAAAGAAAAATACATTTAGCTTTATGTCGTCATAAGTGCAAGTTTTCAGACGCACATAGTAAAACAGAATCGCATTGTAGATCATCTGACAAAAGTTGTAGACCAGCATTATGTTTTTCAAATTGTACGGCCTCCGGTGCTCCATAAACATTTTTCCGAATTTAAGTACAAATAGTAAATAGCACAAAAGTATGATTGTTACAGGCAATGGCGAGCTTATTAATGGCATATCCCTGGCCATCACAGGATCTATAAAGAATATTCAGATTTTGTGAGAAGAACCGATTGTTAAATAAAAGGATATCTTACCTGCTGGCGGTCTAACGAAAACTTTGAATATGTCCATTTGGCTGAGTAAACTTTAGAATCGGGCTCTTGTACGCTGAAACTGCGACATAGAAATAAGAATTTAAACCAATTTACAACTATTTAAGTATCACCAAAAAAAAAAAAAACCTTGTTAATCGATAACATCAGCGTGCCGAAGAATGAATACCCTTGCAGACATCTAAAACGAATTTATAGCACAACAGTTTTATGGGGATACAGTTAGATCGAAAATTTAGTTAGATACTTTATACTTTATTGGAAATACAAACCATATATGTTTTAGTCAGGCCCTGTGACCATTTAGTAATAGTAAAACAGCAAACCTACCCAACTGCCAGGGTACATTTAGAATATAATTAGAAACAAAATTCAATCAGGGCAAAGTTCATATGTTAACAAGTACGAATACACTAATCGCAATGGCATTACTTGAAGATACCCTTTTATGCTGAGAAAATGTGATAAAACTAATATCTCTATGCATAAAACTGTGACTGATTGGTCAGTCAGTAAAACTGACTGACTGATTGGGCCAACTAAAATTTCTCATTTTAAATGTAGCTAAGACGGGGTTTTGGAAAATTCCAATGAAAAACTTTGGTATGCCGCTTTGTTCAATCCAAACTCTTTTTACAGGGTCTTTGTTCAAATTAATTTGAGAGCTGTTGCATACTTTTCGCCTAATCAATTCCTTCTTAATTTCTTTATTTAATTTGTATTTGCTATTTTATTTATACCATAATTGCGCATCTTAACGTAGCTTACCTATTAAGTTTTTAAATAATTGGTTTATATTTTCTCTATCTAACTACCCGGTCTTGTAGGTCGATGGGGTGGAGCCTGGGAAGTGTAAGATATTTATGGCGGAGATTCGAACTCATTTTCAATGATCTTTGAGAGAGTTTATTTGATAGGTTTTTTCGCAAATTTCACAGCTCTGCCGTGACGCACTTCCAGGGTATTCTTTTTAAGTCTTGACGACAATTAGTTTTCTATTGCTACGTTCAATTTTATTATAAACTGATTTGCAAAAGAAGTGTATAATTAATGCTTGTATATTTGCAATTTTAATGCATTACATTTGCTATCTGTGAAGGTTAGTTAGCTGAGTATAGCTCTCTGGACAGGGTCTAAATTCATGCAGGATAAATTCATTCTCATGAATGAGAAATTTTAAAATGCTGCGCTTGGATCGATATTCGATGCTTGATTTCCATACAAAATATTCGTAGCAAAAACAAAATTATATTTAATAAATATGTATAAGGCACTATTCTTATTAAAATACAATATTAATTCAGAAAAAAAGAATTACCATTTTTAGGGCGCTTTTTGCTGTTTCTGTTGTTTGGGCTTAACGTAAGCATGATAATAAAAATTACCAAACATGACAATCATAATTAAAGCCTGGGAGAGCTGTAGATATTGCAGGAACATTGGAAATTGGCAACTAGGATTGGATAACAAGACTAATGTAGCTTGCAAAAACAAAAGAATAAACTGTAATATTTGTATCCCCGTTATGTACTTCTTCCACCAGAGGCTGCTCTTAAGCTTCGGATACATTGCGGAAATAAAATAATAGAAATACATGACGGCATGTACAAAAGTGTTGAATAATCCCATCATCATGTATTGGCCGCCGACTCCGTATAGCCGCATCACCCAATATATGCCAAACACCATCAGGACATGATGGTAAACGTGGAGTATAGTTATCTGCTTGTAGCTCTTTCGTAGCACAAAGAACACAGTGTCCAACAGGTCTATCACCTTGTTCAGGAAGTAGCTATAGGTAAGCCAGCGTTCCAGTTCCTTAGACGGATGTTTATGCGGCAGGCTTTCCATGCATTGTAGGTCGTACGCCAGATTTACGAATATTAAGTATATGACCTTTATTTGAATGATATCTTAGATACGGCGCTTATAATAGGACTTGTGAAACTTACCAAAATAAATAATACGGAATTGTAGATCACCTGGCAAATATTATAGACGACAATAATATTTTTCAAATTGTACGGCTTGCGCTTCGCCATAAATATTCTTCCGATTTTTAATACGAACAGAAGATATCCCACTAGGATTAACGTAACAGGCCAATGAGAGGCTATTATTGGCATGTTCTTGGCCAGCACAGGATCTACGAAGAATTCGTGAAAATAATCGTCAGCTTAAAAGTACGATATGGTACCTGCTGGCGCTCTAAAGAATATTTCGAATACATTTGAATCCATTGTGCTGAATTATATTTCAAATCGGGATCTTGTGGGCAGCAACTACACTATGGAATTAAAACGAAAACCCAACATGCAACCTACTTAAGTACGTATAAATGGATGACATAAGGGTGACGAAGAATGAATACCCTTGCTAAGAACTGAAATAAATTTATCGCATGCGTATTATGAGGTTATAGTTATACGAACTGAAAGCCTGTTGAACCTAAACCCATTAAAATTTTGATAAAAGGGATTGATGTTTTTGTGCAAATGAATGTAACAGGCAGGAGGTAGCATCTCTGAACATATAAACTTTATATATTCTTGATCAGCATCAACAGCCGAGTGGATCTAGCCATTCTGTTTTTTTTTTTTTTTTTTTTCAGCAAATCTCGTATATTATAAGTCACCAAACTTGACATGTAGCTACTAATATAAAAAATATATACATATCAAGTATCTTTCGATTAATAAATATCGCTGAAACAAAAACTAAATCACATAGCGGGACCTGCATTTGGTGTTGATAGAAGCGCGTTTAGGGTATCTCCTAGTCGAGAACTCCCGACCATCATTAAATAAATTTAGATTTTAAACAGACGTAGGTTTTGTTAGCGTCTGCTTCAATGTATTGCATATTTTGTAAGCAAATTGTAGAGCCCAGCTACAGGGGTATAAAAAGAATCTCACTAAAAACCAAATTCAAGCGAGGTGTACAACAAAATGCAAATTGTTTAATCGAAGACACGTGGAAACAATCCGAAAATAAAAGCTAGCGTAATAGCCTTTTCCACTGCAAGCATTTCTTACATTGTTTTGCGAATGTCACATATTTTTCAAATGTGAAAAATGTAGCCTGGATGTATTTGCAAAAAAATGTTGGTATTCCCCCACATAATTCGCGTTTTGTGCGATGATTTATCGAATTTTATATCGACGTTATGGAAAAAATATGAAAGTATGATGAAAGTATATAACAGATGTACATAACAGATGTACATAAACAGATGAAAGCATAACCAAGGACAGCGGTTTGATTTTTGTATTGTTTTAGGGATTATTTAAAATTTGACTTGGAAGGGCATTTAAATTTCTGTCTTTTTATCTTCCTCAAAAACAAATTGTTGTCAAGCAGATGAATACGATTATAGCTTTTGATTTAGTTGAAAAATATTCAAATGTAAGGTGTGTTTCTGCCCTCGTCTATTGCCTCTGTCATTCCTATTCGAAACTGCATTTTAATGTTGAATTAATTAACTGACTATTATTCTCTGCGCACGATCTAAGAGTTTTGTTCAACGATAATTCTTCCTGAAATGAATTAAGAGAAATTAGTAAATGTTACTCTTGAAATGTTTTTCAACCCGTAAGAGGTTCTAGTCGGGAGCTCCCGACTAGGGGATACCCTGAACCCTCTTCTTCCAACATCAAATGCATATATATATATTCTATTTTAAGCTTTATGTCAAGTTTGGGACTCTAGCGCCATTTATTTACTAAAATTGCCCAAAAAACAGGATTTCGATATCGATTCTTATCTATTTTGAAAAAATGTGATCTTGCCATTTTGTCGATTTGGGTCAAAATTTTGGATTTCCTTTTTTTGATGCCAATCGATAGAACTGATCCTTACGAGTCAAAAATGGTATGAAATTGCAAAATCTGACTTTACTTGACGGAAATATTCCAAAAAAGTCATCAAAAGGTTAATTTTACGAACCAATCGGTTTTTTGTCAACAACATTTTCCAACCCATCGATGATTAATTTGTTTGAATGCCAATTGATGGTAGGGATCCCTACGCATTCAAAAAGGTATAACATTTTAAAATCAAATATTATTTACCCGAGATATTAAAAGAAAATCATCGAAAAAGTTTCGATTTTCGCACCGACCTCGATTTTGAAAAAAAAAACGTGATGCAACCCCTTGCCGTTTTGTCAATTTGGGTCAAAATTTTGGATTTCCTTTTTTTGATGCCAATCGATAGAACTGATACTTACGAGTCAAAAATGGTATGAAATTACAAAATCTGACATTATTTGACGGAAATATTCCAAAAAAATCATCAAAAAAGGTTAATTTTACGAACGAATCGGTTTTTTGTCAACAACATTTTCCAACCCATCGATGATTGTTTGAATGCCAATTGATGGTAGGGATCCGTTCGCATTCAAAAAGGTATAACATTTTCAAATCAGACATTATTTACCCGAGATATTAAAAAAAATCATCGCGCGGAGTTATGTCGTTTTGGAACGTCATATCTCCGCGGGGAGTTATGTCGTTTTGGAACGTCATATCTCCGCGGGGAGTTATGTCGTTTTGGAACGTCATATCTCCCCGCGGAGTTATGTCGTTTTGGAACGTCATATCTCCGCGGGGAGTTATGTCGTTTTGGAACGTCATATCTCCGCGGGGAGTTATGTCGTTTTGGAACGTCATATCTCCCCGCGGAGTTATGTCGTTTTGGAACGTCATATCTCCGCGGGGAGTTATGTCGTTTTGGAACGTCATATCTCCACGGGGAGTTATGTCGTTTTGGAACGTCATATCTCCGCGGGGAGTTATGTCGTTTTGGAACGTCATGTCTCCGCGGGGAGTTATGTCAACAAGTTCCGATTTTTGCCCCGACCTCGATTTTGAAAAAAATCGTGATGATTTGGAAGTTCATATCTCCGCGGGGAGTTATGTCGTTTTGGAACGTCATATCTCCGCGGGGAGTTATGTCGTTTTGGAACGTCATATCTCCGCGCGGAGATATTACCCGAGAGATAAGAAAAAAATACATCGAAAAAGTTTCGATTTTCGCATCGACCTCGATTGACCCCTTGCCATTTTGTCGATTTGGGTCAAAATTTTGAATTAAGCACGTATGATAAAAAAAGAAACTCAAATAGCATTACAGAGAAAAGTCGCAATAACCATGCTGTTTAAATGCGAAGCAGACGCGCATGAATGTGTGTTTGTACATGTATACAGAAATTCAAAAGATACTGCTCTATATTATAGTATATCTTATTGTATCATAGAATATGTGTGTATACCGAAAAAGTCAATTGCATTTAAATTTTGGCTTAAATTGGTTGGCAATAAAAGTTGGGTTGTTAACATGATTTATAGCTCTGGGGTGGTATCGGAGAGGTTGCGATAGGTATAAAATAAAAGATACTTGACAAATATATAATATTTTGAGAAGCAATATATATACAGACAGACGCCCATGGCTAGATCGACTCTGCTTTTGATGCTGATCAAGAATATATATAATTTATGGGATTGGAGATGCTTCCTTCTGCTTGCTACATACATTTGGATTTTTTACAAATACCCTTATACCTATTTTTAATGGGTTCAGGGTATAAAAACAGTTATTATTATTTATGCTTAAATCACTAAAAAATCATAATATGTGGTGGGGGGTTTTATTGCTGTTTCTGGTGTTTGGGCTTTACGTAAGCATGATAATAAAAATTGCCAAACATGGCAGTCATTACTGTAGACTGGAAGAGCTGTAGATATTGCATGAACATTGGAAATTGGCATGTAGGATTAAATAACAAGACTAATGCAGCTTGCATGAACAATAGAATAAATTGACCGATTTGTATCCTCGTAATGTACTTCTTCCACCAGAGGCTGCTCTTAAGCTCCGGATACAATGCCGAAATAAAGTAGTAGAAATACATGACGGTGTGCACAAAGGAGTTAAAGAATCCCGTCATCATGTATTGGCCACCAACTCCGTACAGCCGCACCAACCAATATACTCCAAAAACCATCAGGACATGATGGTAAACATGGAGTATAGTTATCTGCTTGTAGCTCTTTCGCAGCACAAAGAACACAGTGTCCAACAGATCTAACACTTTATTCAGGAAGTAGCTACATGTTATCCAGCGCTCTACACTCTTATCCGGATGGTCTTCCGCACCGGGTTCCATGCATCGTAGGTCGTACGCCGGATGTAGGATGATATAGTATACACCCTTTAAGATGTTTCTTAGTTAAAACTTTTAAGTTTGAATGTGATTTGCGAAACTTACAAAACCAAACATAACTGCATTGTAGATCATTTGACAAACATTATAGACGAGGATGACATTTTTTAAATCGTACGGTTTACGGTGCTCCATAAATATTTTTCCTGCTTTGAGTACAAAGACTAAATAACATAGCAAAATGATTGTTACAGGCCATTGGGAAGATAGCAATGGCATATGCCGGGCCACAATAGGATCTTCAAAGAAAAAGTTTAGAGCTTGTGAGAATAATCAATCGCTTAATAAAAGGATATTGTACCTGCTGGCGCTCTGTAGAAAATTTCGAATGCACTTGAACCCATTTTGCTGAACTATATCTCGAATCGGGCTCTTCAGAGCTTCAACGCTGCCATGGAAATAAGAATAAAATCCGACTCACAACTGCTTAAGTACTACCAAGAATACAAAAGTGTTAATAGATAACACCAGGGTGTCGAATATTGAATACTGAATACCCTTGAACACATCCTAAACAAATTTTTTGTATTTCAGTTTTATGAGGAATTGAGAATTCGATCTAAAAGCCTAGTAAAATAATTCTGACACATGTTTAAAGACATAACATGTATATTTTTTGAGCATGGTCATATACGCAGTTGACTGCTCCGATAGATGTCTTCACTGCGTTACATATTGTGTAACAACATTGCAATACCCAACTACAAGGGTATAAGTAGAGCCACATTAGAAACCAAATTCAGTCATACCAAAGTGCATATGTAAAGAAGTACGAATACTCTAATCGAAACGATTTAGCTTAAAAACACCTTAAAAGTTAAGAGCTAATGCAAAATACAAGAAAATAAGAAAAGAATAATAATAATAGTAAACAAGTAAGAACCCTCCAATCGGATGCAATCGACTGCATAGTGCTCTCTAATAAATAGACTAAGTGTGTGGGGCCAAAGTTTAAGGGATATTCTTATTGATATCACATACTATATCGATAAATAGGAAAAGTATCGGAGACTAGGAGGACCCTTATTCCATTTGAGAAATATGTGAAATATTTTGGATATGTGTAGACAAAAAACATGCCAATTAAGTGTGTATGCCTCTTATAAGCTGCAAGCTGCGTTCCGCAAAATCAAAAATATACTCTGCCAAAGCCAGTTTACACATTTTATCCATATTTTAAGGAATTGGGTTGTAAGCAGAATACCAGCCATTTATTAAATGTTTATGTATATGTATAAATATATATTGCTATTAGACATTCCGGACTCTGGAACTGTCTATTTTCGGTTTCTCAATTCTCACATTGACTAAGGCAGAGCCGCAACACAAAACTTATTGTGTATTTAAATGTTTAATGGTTGTCGGTAATGTGATACAAAGACTACATAAGTTTGTTTCCAATTGGGATTCATTAAAATATATAATGTATTCCCTCTGTTTAATGGTCCGCACTTAACATAAGTAAGCCAACTTACTAAATTATGTACTTTAGCTCGTCGGGAAAAAATGCAAAGCATTAAATCTAATAAATATGCATGAATGCAAAAACCCTCTTGTATTGGCCGTTTCATTCTTATTTTTGATGTCCGAACTTAACGTAAGCACGTTAATAAAAACTGCCAAACATAGCAGTTATTACTGTAGTCTGGAAGAGCTATAGATATTGCAGAAAAGCTGAAAAAAGGCAAGTAAAATTGAACACTCGAATAGTTTTTACTATTTGTATCCTCGAGATGTACTTCATACATACATGACGGTATGCAAAAACGTTTCAACGATACAAGTACAAGTACAACAGTCTATGGAGAAGCTAATACAGGCATAAGCTTTATGTAAAAGTACAGTATTTACTGCTGATTCTGTATGGGGTAGATTAGTGAACTTTTAAACTTTCAAGTTAATTTCGTTTATTGTTGTTTCTGATGTCGGGGACTAAGATAAGTATTATAATAGAATTGACTGAACATGACAATCATTACGGTAGCCTGAAATAGCTGTTGGTATTGCATAAAGATTGGAAATTGACAAGAAGGATTAAATAATAGCACTAATGCAGCTTGCATAAAGAATATTATAAATTGAACTATTTGTATCCTCGTGATGTACTTCTTCCACCAGAGGCTGCTCTTAAGTCCCGGGCCCATGGCCGATATGAAGTAGTAAAAGTACATAACGGTATGCACAAACGAATTACATAAGGCCATTGTATTATACTGGCCGCCGACACCGTAGAACCGCACCGTCCAGTAAAAGGTATATACCATCATCATGTGATGGTAAACATGGAGCATTGTAATCTGTTTGTAGCTCTTGCGCAGCACAAAGAACACGGTGTCCATCAGGTCGAGCACCTTGTTGAGAAAGTAGGCATACGTAAGCCAGCGTTCGATATTCTTTCTCGGATGGTCTAGCGGAAGGGTATCTATGCAACATAGGTCATAAGTGGGATCGATGAACAGATAATAGGCACACTTTAAGGGAAGGAAGAGTTGTTAGTGCGTACGTTTAATGTGATTTGCAACTTATGATACTTGCCATAATAAATATAGCTGCATTGTAGATCACCTGAAAAATATTATAAGTGAGCATAACATTTCTCAAATTGTACGGCTTGCGGTGCTCCATAAATATTTTCCCGTACTTGAAGACAAATAATAAATATGCCAAAACGATTAGTGTAATAGGCCATGGTGAGTTGAGTAAGGGTATGTGCTCTATCCAAGGATCTGTGTAGGACAATATATATCTATAATAATACCTTAGATGGGACATAGATTTGGTATTTTTTCTACCTGCAGGCGGTATTTCAAATATTCCAAAGACTGTGGAGTTCATTCTGTCCGGACTAAGCAAGATCTGTGTGCGACTCTTCACAAAATACGACTGAGCCAATGCATTCGATTCGTGCCTAAAGTACAAAAATTATGTCAGGTTAGCAATGTGAATGGCTTTGTAGAAAAATATATACATGCGCGTATATATGTATGCATGTAGACATATATGTGCATGTACATGTACGAATGCTTACATATGTAAATCCGTATTAATATGTTGACGATTCGATCGTATTTGGCAGAGGTTACGCAGTCATTTGACTACATTATCGAAAATTTGTTTTATTTTTCACGGATTTAATTTAAACTCGTTGCAGCTTACGGCTCCACCACAGGCCATTCACCAAACGTTAAATACAACAATGGGCTGCAAACATGGAAATTTTGGCCATGTCAAAGGCAGCAGCAGCAGCAGCAGCAGCAGCAACAGCTGCTGGCAAAATAAGCGCCAGCAACGGACAGCAGAAACTTAAGTAACAGAATGTGGCAAGCACTTGGCGCAGCAACAACAAATCGAATTACACGCACAGTGAACTAGCTGCCTGGCGGATGATGAGGACGAGCTTCCGAATGTGAGCAACGTTTTGCTGACCCATTGAATATGAGAGTGCAGAAAAATTCAGCTTGAGGAGCAACAAGGGCGAGTGCAACTGCTGCAGCTGTTGAGAATTTAATTAAGCGCACAAAGAGTCGACAAAGAAGCGGCAGAGTCATAGCACAGTCGGGGCGTGGAAGCGGTCATAAATCAGCCGCAACAGCAGCCCGTTGCACGTCGCCTGCAATTGGAGTTCAGTTCTTAAACCGAAAACCCCAGACAAGGCAACGACCCCAAGCAGCAGGCAGCAAGCGGCAGGCGGCAGGGCCTCTCCAACGGGGGAGGGCGCCCTCCTCTCGCGTACGTGTGGCCAGCACTGGCCAATTAGTCGCCGCCTCCAACAGCCAGCGGCAATAATTTTGGCTTCATTGAACGTCAGCCTGATGCCACACTGATGACTGCCGCCAAGAGACGTGCAACAACCGGCAGCAGCAGCAGCAGCAGCAGCAACAGTGAGCAGCAGCCATTGCAGCAGCAGCATCATCAACTGCATCATCACCAGCACCAACAACAGCAACAGCAGCAGCAGCATCGGCATCAGGATGCGGATCAGCAGGCGCACGAGTACCAGCAGCTGCTGCAACATCAACATCATCCCCATGGCCAGCTCCACCACCCACAGCAATACCACCAGAGACAGCAGCAGCACTCGCCCCAACAGCATCAGCATCAGCACCAACACCAGCATCAGGCATCCGCAGCAGCATCAGCCACGGCGACACTGCGCGATTGTTCTGTCAAATTGCCGCTGGACATCCTGTGAGTATTTCTCTAGACGGGCTAATATTGAGGGTCTGAGTGGGCTCTCGTCTAGATTAAAGCTGTATATTCCCTTCGGGCTAATGCTGATTCAGGCGCTCGCCTAACTATGCAACTTGTTAAGTAACGTATACCCTGTAAAAAACGGCTGTTAAAGGCTGTTAAGAAATTCATTTCATAGTAAAAACGGCTGAGGACTACAAATTCAAGAATAACTAATATTTGATTTAAATAATTACAACGATTTTTTCAGTCAGAGCTTTGGCTTTTCCTTTGTAGAAATTTGTCATAAAGCTCAAATTATTAGTTAAATCAAGGTTGGAATAAATTTGAAAAGTAATCATTTTTACTATATTTTAAAATTCCATATAAAAGTTGTTTTTTAAAATATTCCATTTAAAGTCTTAATAGTATTTGCTTTTCTACAGGGTATACTTTAGTCATAATACTCATTTTAACACTATGCTGGTAAAGGCAATGTCCAATGTAGAAAACAGTCAATGTTCGCACGTCTCATGCTTTCATAAAATTTACATTTGAACGACTCGAATGAAAATTGCATTCATGTTAATGGCTGGACAACAATTTTCTCAGTCAATTTCCACAGCAGTGCCATATATTTATTTTCCTTTTGATAAGCATTTCGCTGTATGTCAATTAACTTTCTTAATTGCATGCGTATGCCGAATCTGGAATCTAAATGTTTTGATGTTGAATGCATATTAAGATAAATAATCTAGAAAGAACAAAGTGGGACTAATTGTTGGATTGATAACTACACAAATCCAAAAGTTGAAACATCTCACGATTGTGTTAATTGTATGCCTTGCTTGAACTATTTACGTCCGCAAATCAATCACAAATTTTTGGTGGTTCGGCTTATGGTTTACTTTATCGAATGATTTGCAGCATTAACGAGAAACCAAGAATATCTTGGGTATGTCGAAGATTTTATACCCTTCTAGAGCCGATGGCTTTAAAACTTAGATGCCATAGTCATGGCTGATCTATAATATGTATACTTTGTGGGTAGAAAGATGTTTCCTTCTACTTATATTGCAATACAGTCTGGAAGGGTACACAAATGCTCAAGTCACGTTGGCTTGAATTAAATGTTCAAAGCCGCAGAAAATGGCAATAGTTTTTTATTGTTTATAATTGACAGTAAAAACAAAATTGTTATTTTTACCATGACTTATCAATTAAAAGCAAACCTCGCTTGAGAGCCAACGTTTGATATAGAAACCAAGAACGTTTCTTAATTGCATTGGCTTTAATTGTTGGCAACGCCATCAAGTTGTCTAGATATCCGAAACTTTGTTCAGTTCTTTAATTAAAGAGCTGCACAAATCATATTTTAGGGCAACTAAGTTAAATCGGTTTGATAAATGTAAGAAGTTGGCAATATTAATATTAATTGCAAACTGCTGCAATTGTTGAGCACTCAGTTCGTGTTGGGGTTTTGGCTAAGTCCTTAAGCCGCTTTCGCACTGACTGTTGAGCCCTTTTAAAACAATGTCTGATTTGGACAGAATTTAAGCTGTTTAAGCTGCCTGCGGGCCAGCACGACAGCCGGAACGGCTGGGCTGTGGTGCGAGGGGCGACGTGCGATGTGCGGTGAGGGGCGGGCTGTCAACTTGAATGCGTGACAGCAGCGGCTACCACAACAAGCGGCAGCAGCAGCGCACTAATAACAACTACGGGAACAACAATAACATAACAGTCAAAGGGAAGCGTTGCGTTTATGCAGATGCCAAGTCAAGTGGGTAGCCACGCCTGTCCCGAAAAGGGGCGTGAAAAACGAGGCCAGGCGAGCCAGTGTATGTGTCTGTGTCTGTGTTGCAAATAGAAAACTCAAAGCATGCCACAGGCGGAAGACGTCTTGTGTGTGTGTGTTTGTGTGTGTGTGTGCGCGCCACATGGTCGGAGTTTGAGTATATAGGAGTTGGAAAATGTGTGAAGTGACTCCTTGTGGGCTGCAGCACGCTGTGTCGTTACTTTTAACGAGGTGTCGCAGGCGAAACTCGGCCAACAGGATGGAACGCCAGCTGCCAGCTGCCAACTGCCTGTTGCCGTGCCCCAAACTCCCCCTAGCCCCGCCAGCTGTAGCCCACCCTTAACGCTGGCTATATATATAAATATATATAGAAATGCACTTAGCCGTCGTCTGACTGGAGGCGTCTACTGCTACTGCTACGGCTACGGCTGCGGCTGCGGCATGCTGCAAATGAAGTCATCCATTAGACGACGACGTTACGTATACGCCGCGTGTGGGCCACTGCAGTTTGTATGCGCTCATAATGTGAGCCGTGTTTGCTGCGGTCTAAGCGGAAACGTTTATAATGGAATTCGCTTAAGCGCTGACAAGCCGCATGGCTAAACAACGGCTGTGTACTGGGTTGTATGTTTGGGAGGGGGCTGGTGGTCTGAGGGGGGCGTTACAGCCAAAGCAAGTGTCGCTGCGCTAATTTCAGCAAGCAGTTTTCGGGGCGCTTAGTGAGTCATCGAGACTTCCAGTTGCTTTCGGCCCGTCGGTCGTTTGGGCCGCCACTTTAATTACTCAGCGCCAGTTGAAACGGCAATCTAATTAGCTTAGCGACAGGCGTCTGCCATTGAAAGCGGGCGCCCATTAGATTAATTGAGCACAAGCACAAGCTATACTTTTCACTACTTTCGAGCTGCCTCAATGCAGCTCAATACCGCCACTTAGCGATCCACTGGCAGTCCTACTTAGACATTATTTAAATTGCAAATGCGTAGGTCGTATGCCACCACGTGGCAACAATGTGGTCTGCAGTATCCATGCTAAATTTACATTTTAAAAAGACTATGCAGCTATGTAAATTAATATAAGAGGCTGAAGAAGGCAACTTTATGGCATTTCTGGTAGTCTTAATATAAAAACAATTCAACTTCGCTTCTTTTTTTGATGAAGTAGTCACTAATGCAATTAGTCAATATCTCAGTTATACAAATACGATATATATACAAATAGATATATACTTAAGCTTCTTTGGTAACAATTTACCTCTCCTTTGGAAGTGAGAAAGATATTTTTGCAAGTGTTATAATAATAAATGAAATAGCATGGCAGGACAACTGATGATGATATATTTAAGGCGTTGTTAATCTAACGCAATTGAAAAGCAAGTGTTTTTAGCGTCATTTCCAACTGGGAGATTATCTGTATTTATTTGTTATTTATGTATTTGGCAAGCAGCAGCGACTGTGCCATGGCTTTGCACTGTGAACAATTTGTACTTTATTTTGTCGAAATATTTGTGCAGCTTACTGCAGTCGACCTCCCGCTGCAGTCGTTTAACAAACCATTTCAGGCTAGGACTATTTACTTGACAAAAAGGACTTCTTTCTAAGTATTTGTTCCTGTAATGCGTATTGATATGATCACAGCAGGATATTTTCTTTGTTTCAGTTTATATAAGGCTATAGCTCTTAATAGTTATTCAATAAGTGAAACAATATGTGAAAGATCCATATTTGTCGTTTTCAGGTTAGCAGATCGAGTTATCGATTAATCACTTGTCTATCCTGCGCCGCTGCTAAATTTCTTTCAAGGACCGATTGTCTAAACGTATATTTGCTTAAACTAACTGACATTCTTTTCTTCTCGTTCTCTCTGTCAGCTGGCTGCCCAAGTCAGCTATGCGCCCGGTTGGCGCCGATGCCTCGCACACGGATTGCATCCTGGTTGTTGGCGTCTCCCGTCCAAAGCTGGCCGTTGTCTTTCTAACGGTCATGCTGATCTCGCTGTTCCTCACCTTTCACGTGCTCTACGACAGCGCCGTGTACAATATACAGGCGGCGCAGGCGGTGCACGAACGACATCGCCTCTCGCTGGCCGCATCCGCCTCGGCAGTTGCCGCAGCTCCCGCCGCAACTCGGACAGCGTCGAATGGCAATCATTTGCCCGTGTTTGTGAAACCCGTGGCCAGCTCAAATCAACTGAGTCATCCCATGGTCTTTCCCTCCAGCCGTGTGCACTTCCCCAAGACCAGTCGTCGCCTGCCCCAGGTGAGTAATTGCATGCGGCCCGGTTTCGAATTACCCAACACTGTTAATTGCTGCAATTTGCATTTGCACTTCAATTACAGGCACTGATAATTGGCGTACGCAAGTGCGGCACGAGGGCCCTGCTCGAGATGCTCTATCTGCATCCCCGCATCCAGAAGGCGGGCGGCGAGGTGCACTTCTTTGACCGGGATGAGAATTATCTGAGGGGCCTGGACTGGTATCGCAAGAAGATGCCCCATTCGTTTCGAGGCCAAATTACCATCGAGAAGAGTCCCAGCTACTTTGTCTCGCCCGAGGTGAGTCACGTCCGTCCAAGCCCATTTAAAATTTCTGCACTCACTTTGATGTCATAATTGCCAATTAGGCTCGTCCACTGCACATGACCGCTTCTAATTATTAATTAACTGGCCACTGGCATAGGTAGAAATACATACGTAAATATATATGTTTATATATATAGACGCAGATTGCATCGACATCTATCAAATTAAACCGAAACGCTGTCGATGCTCTTTGCTAACTCTCTCTACCTCTCTCTCTCTCTGTCTGTCTCTGTGTCGCTGTCTCTTTGCCAATTTCCGTATTCCACTCTCGTGTCCGTGTCCGTATCCAACCAATTTTGGCAGCGGAAATGTTTGCAAATTCATTTGCCAAACGGCGTCATCTAACACACAGCGTTCCCGACAGCTCCCCCCTTCAAGCCCCAACAAAAGCCACTCGCCCACAACTGGTTCAGTTTATAGGTCGACAGTCAGTTTTATTATTGTTTCGAATACCCTGTAAGCCTGTCAAGTGGCTTAAAAAAGAAAGATTTCCGAATAGGCCGCTTTTTGGACCCTTAAAGGCATATATATTTATAAGCATTAAAGCTTACCTTGGCTTTAAAGGTCGCCTTTTGAATACAATTAATCGTCAACTTTAAAAGAGTAGAAGAGGACATAAAATATATACATGAATAGGATATTTCGACTATCGAATTTTATATTTGAAGTTACCCATATTCCAGAACAATGATTAAACCTTTTCAAAGAGGCGTTTTCCTTCTTTAATACAAAAATAAAGATTCAATCAAGTAATGCATATATCACACAAAAGTCCTGCACGGGGTATCTGTCCGTCGTATAATTTCAACAGAAAGTTTAGCTTTTTTTTATTTTGGGAATATGTTTTTTTGCTATTTCTTGTCGCCTGTTGCCCGCAGAGTGGGTCGGCTGCTGATGCAATTTGTTGGTCGAGCCGGAAGTTGCATGTGTCACTGAAATTGAAGCCATCAGCTGGGAACGGGCGAGCCTGATAACTGGTAACTGGTAACTGGGATCTGGATTGGGATCTGGGTGACTGCGCGCTTGCTGTTGTAGGTGTCATGGCAATGCAATAATTCATTCAGTTTATGCTTTCAATTTGTAACTGAGCTGCAGTTTGCAGCTGCAGCATCCCCATTCGCTGTGTTGCATTTTGTTTCATTCCATTGCGTTCCAGCTGTTAAATCTTCATTAATGTCATGATTAATATTTATTGACATACGCTCGGCTGGCGTGAGTGGAGAGAGGGGGTACACAGACACACATAAACATAACCTGGCTGTCATTCGCCTCTCTGGAGGCATTCACTCACGACCCACTGGCCGAGCAGTTGTCTCTGTCACTCGTGATCGCTCTGCTTTTGTCTGGATAATTGTATCTTATTTAAATTTGCGCACATTTAAAGCGAGAGCTGCTCGTCGCATTTGCTGTTTAAAACTAGCCTTCGCGTTCATAAATAATGCAAATCCCGACGGTGTGCTTGCCAACAGAATGGAGGAGTCGACGGCCGGGGGCGGCAGCGTGGGGAGTCAGCGTGCAGTCATGGACGCGCTAATATTTACCATGGCTACTTTGTAAATTGCATGCATGCATATATATTTATAGTTAATATAGTGCCGTTTATTCAGCTCGTTTGCTGGCATAGTTTGAACAAAAGGCCGACGCGTCGGGTTTCTGGTTCATCAAGATGAAACCCTGCCACTCGCTTGCACTTGTTGCATACTTTATGGGCGCTCATTGAAATTGATTAACTCTATTTGGTACGCCTCGTTGGCTTTATTGAAATACCCCATGCACTTGTGTTAGGTTCTTAGAGGCAGTAGTAGGCGACACTTAAAGGCATGCCAAACAGCTTGTGCTTTAAGCTTAGGAACTATAAAGGGTTTCTAAAAATTAATTGTTGTACTCTTCTTTAACTCTTCTTAAATTGTCGTTTCCTCTACTAAAACCTTCCCCTTAATATGCTTTATATCGATTGTGGCAAAGATCGATTATTTAAACTATCATAGCTTATTGATAGTTTTCTAAGACATTGGCGTAAAAGCGAGAACATAAATAGTACAGGGTATTTTGTATGTGATGAAAGTGAGAGCACGTAATACAGGGTATTTGATGAAACATCACTTGGCACACTTATGCTTTAAGCCTCTATGCCGCAGCTTCTCGCCTACGAGATTCTACGAACATATTTTCCACAGTGGCAACAACAAGCGCAACACGGGGCAGGTGGCATGTGGCAAGCACTGGCAATGGCTGCCCGTAAATTCATTAGCTGCTTATCTAGGCCCTGTCATAACTTGGCATTATTCAAGATATATATACATGTACCATATCCGGCTTAAAGTGTCCGCAATTGCAATCTTCTTTCGCTATTTTGCAGGTGCCGGAACGTGTGCGTGCCATGAATGCGAGCATCAAATTGCTGCTGATTGTGCGTGAGCCCGTGACCAGAGCCATTTCGGACTACACACAGCTGCGCAGCCATGCGGCGACGGCGATATTGCCGCTGGCAGAGAGCAGTGCGCCCGGTTCCGGCTATGGCGCCAAGATGTCAACGTCTGCGCTCTATGCCAAGCTGCAGCCGGCCCACGGCTATGACAATGCGCTGGGCAGCGGTGCGGGCGCCAAGGAGACAGCTTTAAGTGGCAGGACGGGCGCAGGTGCAGCCGTGAGGCGTGGGGGAGCAACAACAACAACAACTAGCGTGCCCCCAACCACGCCCAGCGCCGCCCAATTGGCAGCCAAGTAAGTGGGCAAACTAAAAAGTGCAACGTGCCTGATGGCATTTCCGTTTGCTGTTGCAAGTTTTTAATGTTTCCTTTGAATTCGCTTTCAACCCCAGATCCTTTGAGGAGCTCGCCATATTTCCCAATGGCACCGTTAACGAGGCCTATCGCCCATTGAGCATATCCATGTACCATGTACATTTGCATCGCTGGCTGGAGGTGTTTCCACGCGAGCAACTGCTGGTGGTCAATGGCGATCGCCTGATCGAGGATCCGCTCTCCCAGCTCAAGCGCATCGAGGCGTTTTTAGGTAAGCACAAAGCATAGTATCTGCCTGAAGCTATAGCTAACTTGCCCTTACCCTTTCCTCCTGCTGCAGGCATTGAGCATCGCGTGCGCAGCGAGCACTTTTATTTCAATGAGACGAAGGGCTTCTACTGCCTGCGCTATGACAACGGCGATCGCTGCCTGCGCGAGACCAAGGGCCGCAAGCATCCGCATGTGGATCCTGTTGTCGTCTCGCGTTTGCGCAAATTCTTTGCCGAGTATAATCAGCGCTTCTACGAGCTTGTTGGCGAGGATCTTGGCTGGCCCGAGGAGTAGTAGTTGCAATGGAGAAACATGGACTGAAAGGCTAACGACCTCCAACTACGACACCATACAACAACCCCTTCCCAACCTTATGCTGGGCTGCACTTTGGCGCATTTAATTACAGCGCAACAAAAACAATCGATGCGAAAAACTGCGTGCAGGCTGCGAGGCTGGCTGACAGGATGCAGGCCGGAGGGACGCAGTAAGCTGGAATTACAGTGCACAGCAGGGCGCCATATTTCTCTCTGGCTGTCTGCCAGCCGGCTGACAGTTCAATTATGCGAACTTTGGCGCCCACGAATATCCTTTATACGCCCAAACCTACAAAACGCAGATTTCCACTGCAGCGAGCGAAAACGCAAAAGAAGCGTGAAGAGAAAACAAACAAGAAAATGTGAAAATAAATACCAAATGAAAACAGAAAGAAAAAAAAACGAGAAAAATTGAAGGATAAACAGCGCGTGTTTTTTGCAGTGCAGCCGGCCATGAAAATGTACGGAAAAATATCGAGTATCCGCAAAAGAAAATATAAATTAAAAGCAATATCTACATGATGTACGAAGTTTGCACTGTCTGTGTGCGAGAGAGAGAAACAGAGAGAAAGAGAATGAAAGAGAGCGCGAATGGGTGTGTGAGTGAGCGAGAGAATGCATAAAATTTAATTAAGCAACTAAATGTGATTTTATAGCAAATAAGCGATAAACAAATGGAAATTAATTGCAATTGCAATTTTCGGGGCAATTAATTGTATTTAGACAAGGACAAAAACCGTCGGCTGAATTAAAAGTGTGCATAAAAAAAAAAAAAACAACAAATACATATACATACTGTAATAGTATGATTTTCTTCGTTGATTTAACTTATGTTCGGGTTGCCTTTTTATTTTTAACAACACGTCTTCTTACTGCTAGTACTGTAGAGAGACTGCCTTCCACTTCTTCTCTGCAGCCGCTTTTCTTTATCGATATTTACTTATCGTACTGTTATAATTAACATCGATAGTGACACTATAATACCCTGGCTAGGGTTACCAATGATGCTCTTATCCTATTACAACTCGGCCATCCTGACAAAGAGAGCTCCCGATCTCTGTCTTTTATATGTGTATCTATCTTTATAACTAATGCTTATTGCCTATTTTCGCATCCAATGCTTAAAGTTTTGGCTATTCCAGATACCAACGTACGGGTTGCGAGATAATTGAAAGCCTTCTACATCCTTTAACAAGTATCTATCATTTTTTAAAATCTTTTCTATACTATAAGGCCCTTTATATCTTGGTATTAACTTTTTTGAAACTCCTGGTGTGCTATCAAAATTTTTTACCATGACATAGTCACCTATTTTATATTCTACTGATACTTTCTTCTTTTTATTAATCCGCTCTTCATTTCTGATTTGAGCTTCTTTTTGATATATTTCTCCACTCTTTCTTATATTTTCTAAATTTCTTTTATCACACGTGTTCACCTGTGTAAACTCTTCTAATTTTTCTTTTAATTCATCAACAACTTTTCCTTTCTGTTGTAATCCGAATAACATTTCGCTTGGAAATTTCTTTATGCTTTTGTGTTGTGTGTTGTTTATTGCATATTCAACATTTTCTATAATAACATCCCAATGTAAACCATTTTCTGGCTCCGCCATTTTTGCCATCATCGGACCCAAGTCTCTATTCAACCTTTCCACCTGACCATTTGCTTGCGGACAACCCGTTGCTATTTTAATATGCGTTACTCCCTCATTTTTTAAAAATTCATCAAACTCTTTTGCAGTAAAACAACTCCCTCTGTCCGATACAATGAACTTAGGTCTACTATACGCTCTGAAATAATCTTTTAATGCCTTAATCGCTTCTTTCGTACTTGTTGTCTTTGCTGTATATAGTCTAACAAATTTTGAAAATCCGTCAACCACCGCCAATATATATTTATTAGCCCTTCCTGCATTAATTGGTCCATAATGGTCTATATGGATCATCTCCCACGGTTTGTTTCCTTTCGGTATGCTATGTAATAGTCCTTCACTCTTACCCGTCTTGGGGGCGAAGGCAATGCATTTTAAACAATTCCCTATATGCTTTATTGCTTTTTCCTTAATATATGGGAACCAGTAACTCTTTCCAATGGCATCGATCATCTTATCTCTCCCAGCATGTCCCAACTCATCATGATATTTGTAAAGTACATGTTCTTCCATATCCTTTGGTACATAAAAAACTAATCTGCCATCATTTGTTTTTCTGTAAATGACCCCATTTCTCATTTCGAATAGCTTGTGCTCTTCTTTTTCTAACATCTTTCTAATATCTACCAGTTTGTCATCTTTGCTTTGGCAAATAACTAAATTGTCCTCAAAACTATTGGATTCAATAACTAAAATGTCCTCATAACATCTGCTTAACGCATCCACATGTTGCATTTGCTTGCCCGATCTATGCACTAACTCAAAATCGTAATTTTGTAGTTCTAACGCCCATCTAGCAATTCTCGGATTTAAATCTATTTTGTTAAGCGTTAAAGTTAAAGAGTTGCAATCTGTCATTATTTTAAATCGTTTTCCCTGCAGATATATACGAAATCTGCGTAATGCGTAAATGATGGCTAGCGTTTCTAACTCAAAACTATGATATTTAGACTCTACTTCGGTTGTTCTTTTAGAAAAATAAAAAATCGGGTGTAATTTCCTATCTTCTTTTTTTTGAAATAAAACAGCCCCAAATCCCACTGCGCTGGCATCACAATGTAGTTCTATTTCTTCTTTGTAATTATATATTGATAGTACTGGCGCCTCTAACAATTTATCTTTTAACATATTAAAACACTTAAACTCCTCTTCTCCAAACTTGAATTTCTTATCTTTTTTCAATAAATCATATAAGGGTTTAGCTAATATAGAAAAGTTTAAAATGAACCTCCTGAAGTAGGAGCATAACCCTAGGAAACTTTGTACTCCCTGAATTTTGTTTGGTATTGGAAAGGATTTAACCGCTTCTAACCCTTTTTCATCAGCCCTAACGCCTTTACTATCCACCACAAATCCTAAATATTTAACGCTGCTTTTAAAAAATTCACACTTATCTAATTTCAACTCTAATTTGTTTTGCACCAGTCTTATAAACACTTCCTTTAAGGTCTCCATGTGTTCCTTTATGTTTGTACTTGCTATCATAATATCATCCATGTAAACAATTACCTTATTATCTTTTATCATATCACAAAATATGTTATTAACAAATCTTTGAAATACATGTGGCGCAGTTTTTAAACCCATGGGCATCCTAAGAAATTCATATTGTCCTAAAGGGGTAACAAATGAAGTGTATTTAATAGATTGCTCATTAACAAAAACATGAAAATACCCGTTTTTTAGATCCAACTTTGAAAATACTGTTTTTCCGCATAGTCTGTCTAATAAATCGTCGATCAATGGTAGCGGGTAGTTGTCTCTACATATAATTTTGTTCAGTCTTCTAAAATCAATACATAACCTCATGTCTCCAGTTTTTTTCTTCACTAGTACTATAGGTGATGCATACTCTGAACAACTTGGCCTAATGATTCCATCTTTTAAATAGTCGTCTAATAATTCTTGCAACTTTTCTTTTTCCATATAAGATAACCGCCTAGGTGTACAATTAAATACTTTGTCGTTTTCTAATCTTATGCTTAACTCATGTCTTAATTTTGGCTGATTTGGCCTTTTCGCTTTTACATAAGTATTTTCAAATAAATTTTCAAATTCACACTTTGTGCTGTAATCAATATCTTCACTTAAAATATATATATTTTCTCTTTTGTTAGAATCTTCCCAACTTATTGTTAAGATATCCTTCTCAAAATTCTCTTCTAACACTCCCATGATTTCGCTATTCACTGGCGCTTCATTAACATGATTATTAATTTTAACTGCACTGTTTCCTATATCTTCTATAATCACTTTTTCAATCCCGGTTTGATTATAGATAATTTCATCACTAACAACTTCTTCACTATCAGGTTCGAGCTTAAGCTCTCCATAACTAACTATCTCATCACTAACAGTTTCGATCCCAATCACTTCATTTCTAACTATTTCACCACTAATTATTTTATTTCTAACTATCTCATCACTACCAACTTTATCACCAAGCGTTTCCGGACTAACAATTTTCTCACTAACTAATTCATCACTACCAGTTTCATTACTGACTATTTCCTTATTAACGATTTTATCATTTAACAATATAGTTTCATTTTGCTCGTGTTTGATATCTTCATCGTCCACTTTTTTTTGTTTTTCTTTGTAGCTTGTAGCTATGATATCATTTTTACCATTATTCTGGTGATCAACTTTATGCCCGTTCACAATTTTTAATGTTCTTAAATCAATATTTAAACCAAAAGAATCCATAAAATCTCTACCAAGCACAGCGTCATACCTCATAGACTCATTTGCCACAATTATAACATTAAAATAAACATTTATTAACTTTTTCTTCATAAAACATAAAATTTTTCCAAAATTTTTCAATTTACTTTCATTTAAACCTACATACGAATTTGCATCTGGCATACGCTTTACTTTTAATGGCACAAACTTTTCCTTTAAAAATGAAATAGGGCTGCCAGAGTCTATAAGGCATTCTGCAATTATTGATTTGTTAAATGAGTTACTAAAATGAATTCTTAAGTATCTTACATATTTGTTTTCCATATCATACTTTTTATTTGGACATCCTGCTATTAAATGATCCTTTGAGCCGCACGCATAGCAAGATCCTGCCTCCCGTTTGGGCTTTAAACAATCTTTGGCCCAATGGCCCTTAACATTGCAATTGTAGCAACGTTGTTGTTTGTCCGCCTGTGCTTCCTGTGCAGTTTGTTTCACTACATGGTTTCTTACCCGTTTAATTGGCAACTTTATAGCTGCAAACGCACGTAAAATTTGAGCCGGATTGGTAAAGCAATGCATACTAGCTTGAGTGCGCAAGTTTTCGCAAGGTATGCCTCGAATAATACCCTCCATTAACTCCTCTACATCAATGTTGATGTCCTGTGCCAATATGCTTTTTTCGCTAAAATATGTGGCGAACACCTCATCTGGTTTCCAAACCCGATCCTCGAACTTCTGTCGTAGTTCCGACTTCGAAAATCCTCCCCCGAAGGCCAAAACCAATTGATTTAGCATCTCGTCAATCGGAGCAATGATGCGCATAGGGTCTGCATGCAACCACTTCAAAGCACCGCCTTTCAATTTGCTTATACAAAGCAAGTGCTGTTGCATATCATTTAGTCTGTAGATCTTGGCCACATTGAAGAATTGCATTACCCATTTACGCACCTCACTTTCTCCAGTAAATTCTAATAAAATTTCCTTGGCTAACATCATCGCTCCAGTTTGGATGCAATTATTTAAGTTGCCTCCGACAGCGTTGCCACTTTCGTCGATCCTTCCAGCTGCCCCAGCGTTGCCCGCTGCACCAGCGTGATCAGCTGCACCAGCGTTGCCATCCGTTCCAGTGTAATCAGCTGCACCAGCGTTGCCATCCGTCGACCGTGGTCTTTCTTCAGTGTGACCATCCTCTAGCTGCAATAAATCGCCGACTTCACTTTCTTGCTCTCCCCCGTCGCTCCCGCCGATGTGCGAGTTGCGGTTCACCGTTACTTGAAATTCTTCTAGGAATTTTCGAGACGCTTCAATTTCGAGACGCATCAATTTCAGCATCTCGGCGCCATTTGCTATTTCGTCACGCTGTTGTTGCATTATGTTTTGCAACTCATTTTGAGCCTCAATTGTCTGTTCCTTGTTACGTTGAACTTCAAGTTCCTTTGCAGCATCGTCTCGGATATCCACTGGTACCTTATTTAATCTCGCCATCAGCTCAGTTTTGGTACCCTCTGTTGGCAAATTTAGTAATGCCAACCAACTTTTCAATGTCGCTATTGACACGTCATTTATATTTATATTTTCCATTTTGTTGTGTTTTTTTTTTTCTGAGTCAATCCCACTTCTGATATTGTAATAGTATGATTTTCTTCGTTGATTTAACTTATGTTCGGGTTGCCTTTTTATTTTTAACAACACGTCTTCTTACTGCTAGTACTGTAGAGAGACTGCCTTCCACTTCTTCTCTGCAGCCGCTTTTCTTTATCGATATTTACTTATCGTACTGTTATAATTAACATCGATAGTGACACTATAATACCCTGGCTAGGGTTACCAATGATGCTCTTATCCTATTACAATACACAAATATTAACTAGTATATACCAAAGTCGCATACACATATCTGAGCTCTGAACTCAACCCAAGTATATTATAAAAATACCAAAAACAAAAGAAAAACTTATCAAGTGAACGTAACATATCAAAAGGAAAAGTGAAGGAAAGCCCAACCAAGAACTCGAAACATATCAGCAAAAAGCTTAAATATACTACTTATATAAGAAACTATACACACATATACAAAATATGATATACCAATATATGTTATATGCATACAAGTAAACGCTAGGCTTAAGTTAATATGCAATTTGTTATTTATTATCAATATTATTTAGCAGAAATTATACTTGAGTCTAATTTTAATACATTCAACTAGTTTGTAGCTTTAAACAGAATACCAAGTCCTTAGACAAATTACTAGTTAAATGCACTGCCTAAAATAAAGTAAATATCAAATATATATATATAGTGCACCAACCTAATGAGATGTAAGTTTTTTAAAGCATTTTTTAGCAAAAGTTATTTTTAAATTTTAGACCATAATTATAAACAAATGCTAGGTAAAATTACTGTGCATACATATCGCGAGCAGTTTAACTAAGATTTAGCTATATTAATTATAAACGTCATGTACTTTCGAAACTAATTGTGAAGAAATACCAACAAAAAAAAACAAAAAGCAACTACTTAATGCATATCAACACAATGTGAGCAATTTAACTTAAGCGAAGCCCGAAAATAGCAACAAATGAATAGCTATTCATAAATGTGTGTAATACCCAATTATCATATATAATGACCCAACGTTTGAAGTAACTTTTAGCTTGGTTAGTTCTACGTATTGCCTTGGTTCGTGTTAAGTACTAGGTTTTAGGGATCTTCAGCACAGAATTCAATAAGCGCTTAATACGTTTAAATGCTCTATAGACATAGAATTGTTAAATAATCCACAATCCAGGTGATTCTGTCACCTCAATGTATCGCATACTGAACTAAATGCATAACGATTTCCAGTTGAATTTAATGCAAAACGATGACAAATGAACCACGAAAGCAATATCAAGTCAAAAACAAAACAAAACAAAACAAAACACAAGACTGAAGGTCCTCCGCAGAATGTTTTCTCAATGATTTTCGTTTTGAAAGGAAAATGTATATCAAAAAATAGGAAATACCAATCAACCATATATAAGTAGCATGAGATAAATTTGTGCAGAGACAACGAACGTTTATAATTTGTTATATTTTTATACAAAGAAACCGAACACTAGGAACGACAAAGATAAATACCAAAAATACCAAGTTTGTTTCTGTGTGCTGAATTTAGTCGTATATATACATATATCTATATCAATATATATATATATATACCATTTATATAAAGTTAAAAAATGTCGAGTAGTTACCTTTATCCCTTTAACTACGCCAATTACATACATAGTACATACATACATAAATATCAAGTGTTTAACTCAACTCTAATGCCTCCATTGACATTGATATATTGATGTATTGTCTACTTAACTCTAAAATATATATATGTGTGTGTGTGTATTTAAAGTCAACACACATACCATTGCATAAGCATTCAACTTGCTAATCTATAATGTACCTTAAAAACAAAACAACCACAAAAAAACTATGTATATTTCTTAAAATCTCAATTCTCTTGACTCTTATTCAAATTTTCAATGTACATGACATGATATAAATACGATACGAAACATATCAGCAGCAAAATGAAATAAATGATCATTCAAATTGTATGGAAACTAAAACTAAAAAGAAATCAACATTTTAAAATTTAAAAACAATTTTACGCATGCAATGAATAAATGTATTAAAAAAACAAGTCTTAAAAGTGAAATCTTACTTAAGCAGCATTTATGGCACACTGTCCAGCCAAGGGTTAAAGTTTTAGCCAACACACAAACCATTTTCAAAGCTTTGCATCGAAAAGCTCGTGTATGTGCAGGTTAAAATAACAATCTAATTTGGCTAAAAGCTCAGCAAGTCAATTTAGTTATAGCTTGCCTTTGCTTGCGTACGGTTTGCTGTGTGTCGTCTATTTTTTGGCATGACGCATTTGATAATACTATAAAAAAAATATAATATAGAAATAACTAGTTCGTCAAGTGCAATTAAAATGTGGAAGTCTATGAAGTACCAAAAACAGCTCGGCCAAAGGTATCAGCTGTGCGCTGGGCGGCCGTTATCTGTGGGCACGGCACTGAAGCAGCAGGTGAGTGTGCTCAGCTCAACGCAAGAGAGCGTGAGAGCGTGAGAGCGGGCGAATAAGAGAGCGTGAGCCAGCTTTGTTTATAAACAATCCGACCCGCTGGTCAATTTACTTGAGCACAGACCCACTTGGAATTGTTGGACACAACGCCAACGCGCACCGATGAGGAGTGGCTGCAGGCAAAACCCTATGCAGCAGTGCCTGGACCGGGCACATGTCGTGTGTTATCCTACTTCCTGCCAGGCGGTAGGTTTCATTGGTTCAAATTGGATAAAGCTAAAGACTTATGACTTTTGTCTACCACAGGCAAGCTATACAACACGAATCTGATACAAATGAATCGTCGCATGCGTGAGTGGTATGGCGATATATATCGCTTTCCGGGCATGTTGGGCAAAAAGGATGTCATCTTCACCTACAACCCAAAGGACTTTGAGTCGACCTACAGAAATGAGGGCATTTGGCCCATACGCATTGGCCTGGAGAGTTTCACCTACTATCGCAAGGTGCATCGGCCGGATGTGTTTGGCGGCATTGGCGGCTTGGTTTCAGAGTAAGGGCTAAATAAGCTTTAGTCCTTCCTCGCTATGTATATTTGAAAATATTCCTTATCACACAGACAAGGCAAATCATGGTCGGACATACGCAACAAGGTGAATCCGGTGTTGATGAAGGTACAGAACGTCAGGCAGAATCTGCCACAAATCGATCAGATATCCAAAGAGTTTATAGACAAGTACGTATACTTACTCCAACTTACCTGGGACACTAACTACAATATTTCTCTTTGCGACTAGGCTGGAAACCCTACGTGACCCTTCAACGCACACACTCAATGCGGACTTTCACGAGCAGATCAAGATGTGGGCCTTCGAGTCCATTAGCTATGTGGCGCTCAATACACGCATGGGCTTGCTGACCGATCGGCCGGATCCGAATGCCGCACGCCTAGCTCAGCATATGTCGGACTTTTTCAACTATAGCTTCAAGTACGATGTGCAACCGTCTATTTGGCCGTATTACAAGACGCCTGGCTTCAAGAAATTCCTAGAGACCTACGATCACATCACAGAGATTACGACCAACTACATAGAGACGGCCATCGAGCGCTTCAAGCAAGAGGAGCAGCACACGGGCAACAAGTGCGTCCTGGAGCAGCTGTTGGCTCTCAACAAACAGGTCGCTGTGGTTATGGCCATGGATATGTTGATGGCTGGCTTGGATACGGTAGGAAATACTTCGAATCCAGTTGGAAATGCGTTTGATATATTTCATGGATATCCTATTTGCAGACCTCCTCAGCCTTTGTGACCATTCTGTATCATCTTGCCCGCAATCCCGTCAAGCAAACGCAGCTGCGTCGCGAGCTGCAGCGCATTTTGCCCAGATCCGAGGACGTTCTAACCGCTGAGAATACCAAAAATATGCCTTATTTGCGCGCCTGCATTAAGGAGGGCCTCAGGATTACCTCCATAACGCCGGGCAATTTTCGCATAACCACCAAGGATCTGGTGCTCTCCGGCTATCGCGTGCCACGCGGCACGGGCGTGCTCATGGGCGTCCTGGAGCTCTCCAATAGCGATGAGTACTTTGCCCAGAGCGCACAGTTTATTCCGGAGCGCTGGCTGAAACCAGACACCGATGGGGACACACAATCGTGTCCGGAGGCGCGCAGCCGCAATCCCTTCGTATACCTACCCTTTGGCTTTGGACCGCGCACGTGCATAGGCAAGCGCATTGCTGAGCTGGAGATAGAGACGCTGCTGGTGCGTCTGTTGCGCCGCTACCAGGTCAGCTGGCTGGGCCAGACGCCGCTGCAATATGAGAGCACCATTATACTCTCACCACACGGGGATATACGCTTCAAGTTTGAGCCAATTCCTGATTAGAGATTTGAAAAACGTGGTAAGTTCAGAGATTTACTTGAAGTACAGCTAACAATATGGGAATGTAATGAATGTTTATAGGAAGGATTAGGGTATAGGGTTAGCGTCGGTTGCGTCCGCGGAAACGCTGATGCGAATGATTGAATTGTCGCTGTTGTTGTTGCTGCTGCTGCTGCTGCTGCTGCTGCTGCTGTTGTTGCTTGAAGGGCTTGGCAACTGGGGGCGTGTCCTGCTGCTCAACGGAATGGGCAAGGGAGATGCACTGCCTGGTGGCCTCCTCCAGCTCAGAGCCAGCTGAATGAATTTCTTCTAGTTCAGAGTTGGGCGTGGAGTGAGCTGTGTGAAATAGGAGTTGCTTATTATGCAGCACAGTAATGCATTATGGACTACTTACAAGGAGCCGCATTTACAATGGCATTTCGCAGCAGTGGCTGGTTGGCGAAGCAGCTATTGAAATTGTTGGGCGAGCCTGTGGAATAGCGAATACACTCGTTACACTCGTGAATATAAGAGTCTGGGTAAAGTGAATGGAAGCAGGTGGACAAACCAATGGGGCTATAGAAAATATCTTCAGAGGAGGTAGCAGGCGTAAGAGTCTCAACAGTGGGATGATCGGGGCTAGCAGGTGTTGGGATCTCAACGTTGGGGTGTTCGGGTTTAGGATTGGATGTATCAGCTATCAGGGTTGAGGTATCAGTGTGTTCTGGCTGTGGCTGCTGCTGCTGGTGGCAGACAGTGCTCGTGCTGCTGCTGTCCGTATCGGAGTCGGAGGCATTAACAGAATCGGGTGCAGGATCTTCATGTTCGGGATCATGTTCATTGTCAGTTGGGGAGTTGCTTGGAGTGGGAGTGCTAGCGGGTTCAATGTTGGCTATTGTGTTTGAACACATGCACAGAGTAACAGAAACAAAGGCAAAATACTAAAGTTAAAATGTTAATTGAAATCCTAGATTGGGCACAATCCAGTTGGGATTAATTGGCATGCAATATTCTAGGAATTACCTGCGGCCGCCGTATTGTTGTACAGATGCGTGTTCATCATGGCGGCGCTCAAATGACCCGGCGAGGATTTCCATTGCTCCTGCTTCGCGGCGATTGCAGCTGTTGGATTAGAGTTAGAGCGGGAAGAGAAAAAGAAAAGATTGGGTATGTCAGGGCAGGGTTTTGGCCAAAAGCTCACAAATTAACTAAAAACAAAACTCTTAAGGAAATTTGGTATTAATTTTCTCTTTCGGTTGGACAAAGCAAATAAAGGACTGGTTTCTGGGCACAATTATTATTCTGTATTTCAGTTTATCGTTTATCGTTTCATCCACCAAAAACTTCAAAATCTTATCGCTTAAATCGTTAATCGATACTTTCCATTAAACTAGGGCTTAGACTTAGGTGTGTCTATATATGCAGAGGGGATCTGTGTGTGTTTGTGTGTGTGCGTGTGTTTGTGTGTGTATTTGTGTGTCTAATAAACAACAGTTAGATAGAGGATTCAATGTCCATTACCAACTTCCGTCTGCTCCTTTTCGGTGGTGCCATTGATTGTGGCCGGCTTTGCCTGCTGATCCTTCGGCTTTTCCACATGATTCTGGTTTGTCTTGTTGGGCTTCGTGTTCTCCTTGTGCTATACGGATTATTGATAAGTTAGTCAGCCCTGTCCTTGGTTAAGGCTAGCTCACCTGCTCTGCATTGGCCTGCTCCTCATTGCTGCTGATCTGCTCGCTGCTGTGGGATGCACTGTCGCTGTCGCTACTGCTGCTGCTGCTGCTGGTGGCCGACGTCCCATCCTCGGGGTTGGGCACAAAGTCAGAGTCATCCTCGGAGTTCTCATTGGCGTACTTGGCCAGCATCTCATCAATGGTTAGATTCTGATCGGGATTCGAGTCGTCGTCGCGCGGACGCTTGGACACGCTGTTATTCAGCTGGTTGCCCTATTGCATGGAACTTGGATTAGCTACTTGCTGCAGTTGGTTGCACTGCACCCACCTGTTGTGGCTTTTCCATGTCACGCAAGTTTAGCACTCGCCCGCTATTGGCTCGCTGCACACCCGGTCGACAGATGGCACGGGAGAGCCACTGGCTCAACTGCTGCGTGTAGGAGCAGCTCGTCCGGCTGGAGGTCTCCTGCTGGCGATGACGCATTACCCTCAGGCCGTGCACGCGTATGGCGCGCAGCTTGCGTCGACGCGTCTGTATAAAGTATATCATATCCGTCGGGGAGACCGGACCATTGCCTATCATCAGGGCGCCCAGCGAGACCCAGATGCGCGCCAGGCGCAGCAGTACGATCAGCAGCAGAAAAGATGCCCAGGGCAGGGGACGCTCCAGCACGACAGCGCTCGAGTTCTTGTCTGTGTAGGAGGAGAGAGTCAGGCTCTGGATGAAGGCTGCTACTCGTAGCTAACGCTTTTACAATTCTTACCCTGCGGCAGACTCCACTTGGTCGTATCCTCGATCAGCTTCAGAGCACGATCGGCCCTCTCGATAACAAACTGGCCCAGTCGGGTGCTCGCAAAGCGTTCCGCCTGCTCACGCACCTTCTGATAGAAGCTGGGCGGGCGCTGCAGTTCGCTGACTTCATCATCGCCGATCAGATCGTGCTGCGTATGCTGATCTTTGGCCTGCATCTCTGTCTTCTGTGCCATGCTGCCGCTCTGCATGCTCCTCAGCTATGATAATTAACTGCGCTTGATTAATGGCATATTTTATACATATAAATGTATATATATATATATATTCATAATATTTATATGCGCTCGCCGGGGAGTCTGTCAAGGAATGTGTGCATGTCCATGACACATGCATATATATTCTTGATCAGCCGACTAATCTTTCGTTTTTGAAACTATCATAAGACGTTGTAAAGATATCTCATCTTTCTCAAGGGATATATCAGAATCGTTTGATTCAGATTAGATCGATAGAAATCTGAGATTTTGTATTGATAGCTTATGGGATTTTCAAAATAAGTATCTTGACCAAACTCAACAATTTAGTTTGCCAGGGGAACAAACCATTGGACATTGAAAACAAGATATCGTACGTCTGGTAAATATATTAGAGAAAGGGTATTTCATGTTTGACATCACAAAGATAACTGTACTTTCCTGTTGTATTCATTTTATTTATTTATTTTATTTTTTTGTTGGTCTTGTGCCTATATTTTGATTATCACCAACTTTGTCGCTAATCGTAAAGGTACTAATGCGAGCTCTGACAGCATTCGCGGCGTGATTAGGCGCTGACAACCCCAAAAACGACCTGTACTACCTCTATAAGTAAAAGTACTTACTATATAGGCATAAGTATAGGTATTATTATAAGTATATGTATGACTGACACCGTCTGACATCGCCGCGTCTCATTGCCACCTATTCTCATATATTCGTATTATCAGCTGGCATCATCGCATCGCACTTTTTATACACTTAAATTTTGAATTTGTTGCTGTTTTTGTTGCCTTTGGCGGCTGTCTGGCCAAACTAATGGGATCTAGCAATAGCTATAGAAATTGTTGCTTTCCGGCATCGTGACTAACAACAAAAATCAAAACAAATTAGGTAATATGTATATATGTGTGTGCATATAAAAGTTGTACTTTGCCCCAAAGCAGGGAATACTCTGAATAGTTTTCGATTTCTTAACTTGGTGATAAGCGGAACGAGAGGGAAAAGTCAAATTGAAGTCCACGATTACCAAATGCCCTTGCCTGCGGTTGATATGTATATATAAGTTGCAAAATATTGATCTGATCCAAAACTTCCCATATAGCTCTTTCGCTTAGAATACTATATGATATGGGGCACCGATCACATCGTGAATAAATAAGTACTTTTTAGAATGCGTAACAAATCGAACTGCTAAAGTATAGTACTTATCGCAAGGGTATATATTAGGCATAGCCCACTCATAGCGCAGCTTATCTTTGAATAGTGTGAATAATAGGTGATCTTTCCATCTTTAATATATGCATACTATGTCTTCATCCAATTCCCAGCAATTCCAAATCTTCGAAATGAATACCCGTCACACTCAATAAAAATCGGCGTGCATTTTGAGCCTGAATAATTTGAACACATTTCGACGAATATTTGTTATAAATATTTACATATGCATGGCATATAATTTGATATTTATAGCGCTTATTGCATCGCAAAATAAAAAAAATAAATAAATACACGAAAAAAAAATGAATGAAAAACGAAAAATTAAATAACAAAAATAATAAAATTATCAAAAATTTATTGGCGGGATCAAAGTGTATCGAAAACTGTATGCAAAAGCAACGACTGCACACACACACGCACAGCTCACATGGAACATAATTTGTGGTACAGTGTAAATGGAATGAAGAGATGGCCAAGCGAGAAAAAGACAGCTGCATGGGAATGGAAAGCCATGCTGCAGGCTGTGCACAACGAAAGTAAAAAGTGCGAAAGGCGCAAAAACTAACTGCGACGTTGAACCCTGCAGAGAGCTTGAACTCGCCCAGAGACCGTGCCCGCCGCCCGCCGCCCGCCTCGGCCGCCTACACATTGAGATAACGGTCGCTGTAGATTAAATGGCGCACGAGAAGCAGCCCAACAAAGCGCACAGCCGATTAAAGCATGACTTACCGGTATTTCTTTTTTTTACTTCTTGTACTTTGCCGATCTGCAGCTCTGAAAGCTTTAGTCTTGCAGTTTGTTGCCTTTTCTTGTGCCCTAGTCGAAGCTTGCGTACCAGCCGGTATATTTATGGTATTCTATTTGATTATTTTAAAAAAACTATATATAAGATTTAAAAGTTAGCACTTAAAGGCACGGAACCAAACTGGCAAATAGACCAACGAACGGCTGCACAACTCCCGAGTGACTGAACAAGGCAGCGCAAGCCGAGCGGCTGCCAACCGGGAGACCAGCGATCGGCAGCACTGATTGCCGTTATCAGAAGAGCGCACAGCGCGACAAAGAGAGCGCTAATTAAGCTGCACTCAGCATTGGAAACGAAGAGAGTCCAATTGCAGCTATATCAAGTTGCGCTTAGTTTAAACAACCACTAATTAACCACGAACTTGCGCAAATAGTTTCAAAAAAAAAGGGCGACTAGCGTGCTTTTACACTCGGCTTGCTTTAACTAGAGCGTAGGCAAAGCAGAGCCCTTGTGCTGAGTGGGAAAGTGTTGGCGCACACAGCTCGAGTGGATGCTTGAAATCGCACATTCATTTAAGCACAGGTTAGGAATTCCTGGGTTAGTGCAAATAAATGCATGCAAAGCTACACAAAAATGGAATGGAAACAACGGGAAAAGACGACATGAAATTGGAATATTTATTCAACTGTCAGATTCAATAATTCACCTGCATTACAGAACACAAAGCACAGCTATTTATCAAGCCAGTCAAGTGTAGGAGCTTTGCCTCATCCTGTTGTGCCACCAATTATTATCCCGTTTACAGGAGCCGCCCATAGCCGACCAAAACCACTCAACTGGGCATTCGGCGCCACACTCAATTGTCTCGGCGCTCAGTGCAAACACATTGAAGAGCTTTCGTCTAGTACAAGCGACAAAAAGCTCTCAACGAAAATTCAGTTGCGCAAAAACTCTCCACGCTGACGGACGCAGCGACGCGGCGAAACGGAACATAGCGGAGCGAAGAGCGCGCGCTTTGCTGTACAGGCGACGTACGCAGTGTAAAAGCGACTCGGCGAAAGCGCCATTCATCTCGCGTGTGTTGCAGAGCTGCAGGATAACGGGGCAGCAGTTAAATACGCAGTGCAATTAGTGGCATATTTTGTGTGTGTGTGTGTGTGTGAAGCATAATAATCAAAGCCAACATCTTCTGTCAGTGTTAACTTTAAAGAAGTTGAAGCAGCAGCAGCAGCAGCATCGGGAGGTGGCGCCTCCGCAATGTGTCGATGTAACCAGCAACCAACGAATCAACGCGCAGCCAACTGAGCGGTTCGCGGGGCATATCCCACCGCATAGGCCTCCAAATTTTGTAGTTTATTTGTATTGGTGCTGGGTCGCGTGCCTGTGAGCACACACACACACACTCACACACTACGCACACGCAGGGCCACTAAACATGCGTAAGTAATGAGCAAAACACACACTCAAACACACACACACACACACACACACACAGGTCTATAAAAAAATGTTTTCCGCTTTGCCAAAATTTGATAAACGACCTGCGACCCGCTCTATAAAAAGATGTTGACACAGCGGAGCCTGACAAAAGTAACGGGTTAATAGCTTGCCCTCTGCCCCCGGCAACAGCTGTTGTCTGTATATACACACACCTACATGTGTATATTTTTAAGCAGATTTTAGTGGGGGCTCGCTGTAATCCGTTATCCTTTAGGCCCCAGCCGGG